AAATATTTTGGCCATATAATATGATAATTACTAACTTCAGGCATGTGCTCCCTTAAAAAATAATAATAAAAAAAAAGATAAAGAAATTACAAAATTTACAACAAAATTTCAGTGAATTTTCAGAAGCAAAATAAAATATGCAAGCAAGAAAACTTGTGTGCTATAATTCATGGAAACCCAATGGGCCTTATTCATAAAACATGAACAGAACAAATTTCTGTATAAACTGCACGTAAAACTGTTGCATGAATGGATGCACGAATGATTTACACAGTTCTGCTCGTGTTTCACGAATAAGGCTCAATGTGTTGTGCCAGATTTCATCAACCCAGAACATTTCTATCATAACTATAAAGGCCACCCTTTTATTTTTCAGCATTATTTTCCAGCTAACATACCCAAGACTTAAACATTATTGCCTAGAAAATCAATTCACGGTAAATGCGACAAGAGGCAGAACTGCGTGTTGCAAAACAAGGTAAAGCAGAGGCCTAGTGTCAATGGATGTTTTGTTTTTCTCTTGTTAGGTCATAGCGTACATGTATGAAAGCAATGGCGATCTTGAGCGTTCAATAAACTCATGCCATCTCCACAAGGATCTGACACTTAAAGTTCTGCAGGCACTTAAGAAAAGAATAAATGGAGAGATGGAAAGAGCAAGAAAATAAAAGAAAAACACCTCCCACAAGCTGCTGCGTCTGAATGTTTGACGAAGTGCTCTCCCTTTCTCTCGCGCCCGAACCGTTTTACAAAAAAAGCAACAATAAGAAATGTGAGAGAAAAAAAAAAGTGTTAGGAGAAGGATTCTAGTCATTTACAAAAATAAGTGGTGCTTTAGAGAAAGGCTGAGCGCACTGGGCTTTTTGTCCACTTGCTCTTTTCCCCTTGGGGCTGGGGCCCTAAGCCGGGTCCGCTCAGGCCTGAATGAAATCTTTGGAAGCTTCTTAAGCTCTGAATGTGGGTTTTGTTCTTGCTATTCCTCCGCTTGGCTGACAGAAAATAGGTAACTGGATTAGGCCTCAAATTCAGAGTAAAGTGAACTCCCAAAAAAACTCTGTATGCCACCCCCACTATTTCGGCCCCCCGGTTCTCATGTCCACCCCTCTTCTTCGGCGTCAGCAGACGTGGGCCGCTGGGGCTGTGATCTGTAAGATCGCAGGGAGATTAGGCAGGCCTGGGGGCTCGCAGCCCGAAGGGGGGCTAAAAAGTAAGAGTGCTAAAGGCAGTTAAGGGCTCCTTAATGGGGGTAAGGAAGTGTATTAATCAACTCAATGCTACCAAAGCCCGAAGCTGCAGGGCCCGGCCGGAGCGACGTGCAGGTGGTCTAGTGCTCTACGGGGAGTCAAGGAGGGGAGGAGAGGAGGTTCAGTTGCGTACAATGCCACTATAAAAGATTAAAAACTTTGGGAGAATGGGACTCGCTGTGACCCGCCTCCTACTTTAGGAGCTGAGAGGATGGGTGGAGAGGAGGAGAAAACACACACAAATACACACACATACGCATGCTAATGTACCTGGACATCAGTGTGGTTATAAATTCATAAAAAATGTGTGAAAAAGATTTGAGTAGACTCATATACAGAAATCTGATTGGATGCAATGCTATTACGTACCAAATAATGCGTGTGCTAAAATGAAGTCATGGAGGACTTCAGTGCTGTTTATCAAATATGTAAATCGGTGCGTATGATTCCTACGTCTTTGTACACGTTTGTCAGAACATGGTATCTAACTGAAAGAATGCCAATGAATATAGATCAGTAATTCATAACAGGAGGTACTTAAGTTTTGTATTTAAGTAAATACAAAAAAAAAAAACATCTAACAAATAATAATAATAAAAATAATAAACAAATAAATAAAAATGAAGGCTACCTAAAGATTAACATAATCAATCTAACAAATAAACAACCTTTTTTTCTTTTTGTAAGTATTGACTTGACACATTTTAAGTTACTTTTTTAAATAAATAAATAAAAATTGGTTAACACTTTACAATAAGGTTCCATTTGTTAACATTAGTTAACTACATTACACTTCTAAAGCATTTATTAATCTAATGTTAACTAGTGTTAATAAAAATAGATTAATAAATACTGTAACAAATGTAATGCTTTGTTAATGCTAATGTTAATGCATCAATTAGCATTAACTAATGCACCCTTATTGGAAAGTGCTACCAAAAAATATTGTAGCGAGTCTGTGTTGTCACTAGGAAACAACATTAATACGTTTTAAAACATACGAAAAAAAGTGTGGTTACATTTCTGGATAACTGAATTAAAATTAACCAATGATCTGTTAATTTTTTATAATTATATTATATTAGTTTTTAATATTATATTCGTTTTTTCTGTTGAAAATGTGTGTACTTGCTAATGAAAAACTTGCCAACACTATGCTAAACGCCTTCCAGAGCATTGCTATGGGGTTGCTAATGTGTTCTGAGTGGTTTTAGGGGTTTGTTTGATTGCTAGCCAATTTCTAAAGAGCCCACCATTGAGTTTTTAATCACACTGTGCCTAGAAAGGTCTTGGGTCTACCTAAGTTTAACATTTAGGGTTAGGATATTAGAAGAAGGGGAAAAAAATATTTGCAAGACTAATAGCAATGTTTGCCTTAACAAGCACAGCTAATAATGTTTGTAAATGTTATGAAACTATTTCCAATGTTATGAAAGTCTTTCCACAGTATGTTTTTTATGCAACTATAATCACTTAAGTACCAGTACACATAAACCATTAACAATCATAGAGGATCTTAAAGTATACAACGAAAATTAAATCAGAGTGCTGAATCATTACATTTCAGCCACTGACAATGTGCTGCAGGATATTAGTTATATAAAAACTAAACAAGCCAACAACACACATAAACGAAAGCTTGAAATCATCTCAACAGAGTCTCTTTAATATTTTCCTGCAGTGGTTCAAAACAAAACGGCTTTTCCAATTTGCATGCATTTCCATTTGGCAATTCTCCCTACAGGAATTCGCAAGCACACATACAGTATAAGTCAGAGACACCCAGTCATCAGCGCATGTCCTTGTGCCGCTGCAGCTCGCTCCAGTCTGAAGCTGCATAATGCAGAAGAGTGGAAAGAGTGCAGAATACTGCAAGGCCATCCGGCAGAACTGGACTAACAATCTCATACCAATAGACTTGCAATGTGCCAAAAGTTCAGGAGGAGAGCGAGAGATGCTAAGTCATCTCATTATATGAATCCCAAACTATCCCAGCTGAAATATTTATTAAGACAATAATATGGTTTCTTCCCTTCCATCTCTTCAGGGTGATGCGGCTCTTCTCGGAGACATACACACACTCCTTCACGATCTCTTACTCATAAACACACATTGCTGTATGTGCGCATGAAGATGTCAGCAGTGCCAGGCTCTTATAGATATTGACAGTGAGTTTTTTCCATTATACACAGCAGCCTGGAGAGCAACTTCCTTTATTCACCACACCAACACTGATGAAACGCCTCAGAAACGGACGAGGTGTTGAAATCTCAGATTCACACTCTGATGGCTATTTCATAGATTTTTTTTTTCTCTTACGGAGCGTGTGTGTGTGTGTGTGTGTGTGTGTTAAAAAACAACTTCATCTGGGCAACACCACAGAACTCTGTCCTCAATGAGAATTTATTAAGGAAGGATAGATGCCAGAGTTAGTTTACGGCAATAAAAAGAGGGTAATTAAGAGAATTTGTTTACAAAAAGAGGTGAAGTGAGAGGTATGAGGGTTTTAAAGCTGACTTGATGCTAATAGTGCAGATAATTATACCTCAGTGTGCTTTGTGTGTGTGTGTGTGTGAAGTTAGTCTCAGAAGTGTGTTGACAGCTCACACACCGCTACTGAGTCAACGACGGTAAATGACAGCACAAGAAGTGTGACGATATGTGACGTGGCCGTCAAATGGTGATAAGACAAAGCGCTAACTTTCGGAAGACAAATTGTATGTATTTCCAATTGATGCTTCCTTGTTTCATCCGTTTGCGTCATGGTTTTGCATTAGAAATTATTATAATTTTTTTTTAGAATGCATTATTTGTGCACGGAGTGCATAATGTATACACAAAAATGTGTGTGTTTGAGAGACTGTGTATTGTATAATCTGTAAATACTGTAATAAATAAAAAAGTTTGACTAACCTAAGCTGTCTGTTGAAGATCCTATTCAATTTCTGTTAGCTTTAAGATCATTTGTATGCTTTGTACTCTTAAAGTCAACATGAAATTTAAATTCATGCTATCTATTTTCTAAATGCATGTTAATGATCTTATTGTGAATGAAACATCTATGCATTTTTAGGACTTCACAATTTTTAATTAAAATATCTTCCTGTGAAAATGACATACTTCTGTCTGTTGACCTATGCCAGAATTTTCCAATCATTTAGTCCACTTAAATCCTAGCCTCCATTTTTGACAGCAACGGACACATCTCAAAATCGACTGTATATAAACATGGATTTAAAAAAAAAGCACCTTACTTTTTTTTCTTTTCAAAAAAAACTAAACTACTACTTATGTTTCATCAAGACTTTAAAGGTTGACCAAATTAATATTTAGCAGATATTTGCGTTTAAAATTGACTGTGTTTCTTTACTGGAAAAACAGAGCAAATTTATTGATGACTCATCCAGCACTGCACAGATTTTTGTCCAATCAGATGCTCTCTAGAATTAAAATGTCCCTCCCCCTAATGGTTCATATCTGTGATGTAATTAATGTTAAGAAAGAAAGAAAGAAAGAAAGAAAGAGAAGGGAAAAAGGGAGCTAAGTGCATCAAGGAATAAAAACTGTGCTTATCAAGCTGGGTTTTTACAAACAGAGAAAGCGAGATGAAAATGGATGGTGTCCAAACTCTCCGCAGCCTCCTGACCACACATGTGTGGCCCACTCACTCAGCTGCCTAAAACCCCCTCTCACCCTCTATTTCACCCCATATTCTTTTCTCTCTCTCCTACCCATCATCCTCCTTCGGCCACTCACTCGAATCGGGATGTGCTCCATCTCTCTTTCCTTCTGTGGGTTGCGATACTTCTCATAAAAGTCCTTCTTTTTCTTGTTCTCCCGCTCTTCCTTCCTCTCTCTCTTTTCAGCCGGCTCATCAGAGGCATCCGGGGACGGTTTGTTGGCTGGATCCGGAACCTTCTCCACCTCCAGAGAGTTCTCGTTGGGGTTCAGCACAATCACCCCGTAGCCCTCCTGAGAGACAAAACACATACAAATGAATAAACAAATAAACAGGCTCCAATGCTCTTTCTGATTGTACTTGAGTTACCAAAACAAACCGGCCTTTCATAATAAAGCAAGGTGTCCGGGGAGAGGCATGTATGCCAGCGCTGTGAGTCACGGCATTGTGTGGCGTGCAGTAGAGGAGTGAACTGTTGGGAGAGGGATTAGAGCGGCTCTCGATGCGAACGGAGGTCAGTGTTGCTTTCATGTGCGCTCAAATTAAGCTTCAGCTTCAGTTAGCGCGCTGACATTCAGCGTAAAGAGAAATACTGCTACTGAGGAAATCCAGCTTTCCTAATTTATTGTGGAATATTCAGGCTTACATGATGAGTTCTGCTATATTTTAAACTGTATGTATTATTTTAAGGTGTTTTTTTTAAGTCAAAATGATCATATTTTAGATGCATGTCTGATTTTAATTCATCAACAAATAATTAAAAATGACTGTAAAATCGAATATAAAAAATATGTAATTTCGCTGTAGTTTTTAATCAAAACCAAAGAAACCAAAAACACAAAGCAAAAAATAATACAATTAAATTAATGAATTCAAACAATACACAACAAAAGCAAAGGAACACATTTAAAGCCTTTAATACTTAATGGCATCAGTGTCTCAGTGGTCTTTTTGGAGAGCAATCAGATATGAAACAGTCTGACGCTTATTCTGCTGCCCAGCTCTAAGTAAACGCACAATACACAGCCAAACGCCCGCAGAAGAAAATCAGCAAATCAAAGTGAATTCTGATCCCTGCATATTCTAAAAATACGACCAGTGTTTACAAATCTAACTTCAGTGAAAATAAGAGGGGGGGAAATGTTACTACATCTAAATAATAATTACTATTTAAAATAAATAAATAACTTTTATAAATTAAATTAAATTATTTAAAAGTAGAATTATTTCAATGATCTAAAAACTAAAACTGTGCTAAAATATAAATGGCATTTAATCACAAAACATTCATATTAAAAGGTATCTAAATCAACAATTCTGAAGCAATAAAACAAGTTTTCTACATATGACAAATTATTTTTTTCCACCAACATACAAAGCTTCAAACAATTTGCATAGCTGCAGCAACAAAGAGACAAAGGTGTAATTTTCAAAACAGCTAATTAAAAATGAAACTTCTGTCAATAGCAAACAATTATAATTATTTCACATGATGGACTGCAAAGCAAGCATTTTCACGTCGAATCAATACCAATAAGCTCACACCAGCATTTCACTAATACAACTAATAAGAACTAAAAACACTAACAAGATTATTATGTGCTCATTTACCGTTTTAAATACATTTTAAAATCAGAATTTCATTTACAGTCGATTTAAAATGCATGCATATTAAACATTTAACACAAAATCAATGCGATCATTAAATTATAAAACTGTAGCAAATGTAATTAATTTCTGTTGAACTCTGAGTCAGTTTCTGATTAAATAAATGTCATGTTCTTTGAAATCCAGTCAGACAGCCTGTGGTGTGTAAAAGTAGAGGAGGCGTTTATCAGAGTTAGTCTAAACTGACCAGACGTGGGGTTGAAATTTGTAGTTAGTTGTTTCTGTCTGGCAGGCTGGTGTCATATAAGTGATGTCGGCCAGCATTTACTGTGGTGTTGTGGTTAAACTGTGTGGTGAGAGAGGCTGAGTGGAGCTCGTTGCCACTGCCCACTGGTGGCAGGTTGGATAAATGACCGAGGAAAAGAAACGGTGCTTTATAAAAACCAACAAACTCTCTGTTGCCAAATCTTATCTTTTGTTTTGCAATAATAATGTCTTGAAAGCAGGGGTTATGGAATAATTTGCATAAATAGGCAAAACCGAGCTTAGTTTTAAACTTAGGTTCATGCAATACAACTGGGATCATATTTACCAGATCAATAAAACATCTTTACAGCAATATATAGTAATTTCAGCATTCTTCACAGTTATTAGGGAATCTAAATTGTTAATTTACACCAAAGTTGTCAAACTGTCAAATAATAGTAGTTGACAAGCAAATCGAAGTGCTTAGACAGTTTTTTCACATTTTTCAAAAGTATAAAGCTAATAATAATGAAAAAAAATCAATTATCTAAAAAAAAGTTTGAATCGAGTGTACATTCATTGCACAATTCAAGCTAAATTTATTTAAAAAACCTGGAAGAGAAAATAAACAAATAAACAAATAATAATGATAAGAAGAAGTAGATGATGATGATCGTTACTATTATTATTATTATTATTATTATTATAAATAAGTGGAATATCTATAGTAATAAAACAATGTTTCAATAATTGGAATAGAAAAATTACATAAAACATTTCATATCAAATAGTCAAAAACGATGATACTTATATATAAAAAATATTAATACAACAAAATAAGTGGAATATCTATAGTAATAAAACAATGTTTCAATAACTGGAATAGAAAAATAACATAAAACATTTCATATCAAATAGTCAAAAACGATGATACTTATATATAAAAAATATTAATACAACATGATAATTTATAGTCTTATGGTTCCAATAATTACTGACAAAAATAAAGCACTCATGACCAGGTTTCTCGTTTTTATATTCAGCATTCAAACTTCGCAATGTTGTGCGTCCTATTATTTGAAAGACTCTAGAGCCTCTCTTTCTCCGTTACGATGCATTTGCCGTATCCCGGACTCTTCCCATGCCCTCCTGCCCTGGCAGGAACCTCCTCGAGGGGCAAGTGGCGACAGGGTCTGGCCCCTGGGCCAGCGGTCAGCGCAGGTCACCGCAGCCCCTCACTGGAGCTCAGACCCCCATAACCCGCCGCTGGACTGCCTCTTTAGTGCTCTTTTGTCTGGCTGTCTCAAACCGGCCGACTTCTTGCACATAACACAACAATGACTTGATCTCTCCGAGCTGTGACTGACACCGCTGTGACATTCTGGAAAATTCTCCGGGTTTTATTTTTGTGTGTGTGTGTGTCAGTGTTGTTTTAATTATATGACAAAACAGCTCACCTTTTAAGAACCCGGTTTAAGATGGGGTGAGGGAACGCATAGAGCTTGAGATTAAAGAACCGAGAGCATTTCTACGCTGCCAAACAAACGCTACAAAAGATCCATCACCATGAAAACCTTCTGCCACAGCATATTTGCACATTTACTGATACAAACACAAAATCTGACTGTTCGGTTTGATCCGGTTAGATGCGTAATTGATAAGTACAGCAATGATGCCGTGTCCCCCAAATCACCCCTTCTCAAATAAACTCTATTTTGGCTGAAATGAGATGTCGCTAATAATCCTACACCTCTGACGGACAGCCCGGTGTTTTATCTATTTGCGGCCCTTTGTTTGGCTTTGAAGTGAGTGTGTCTCTCTTTTTTGTCTCTTTTCGGTCTCTGATTAACTAAAGCGTGGATTGCTTTTGGCCCGGCGGTGAGAACAACACTTGACGGATACAAAGCACGCTTGATAGCAGTCAGGAGTGTACGTGTTTGTACGTGTGTGAGATAAAAACGCCACGTATGTGCTATATTGAGTCAACGTATAACTTGGCACACCAACACGTTTTTATGTCCTACAACGAGAGCATGTTAACGTGGTAAAAATGTGTGCTTGTGTGATCAAAGCGGGAGGTGGTGTTAAAAGCGACGGAGAGACACTCCATTACAGCATGGCCTTGGCCTGGCCCCCTGTGTCTGTGCGTCCTGTTCTCTGATTGGCTGCCGACTGTGGAAATGCCCACGGCTGAGGAGTCTAGCCAATCGGAGCGGAAGATGCATCAAGGATGGCGCGTGATGATTGGCGGAGGGAACAGATGATGTGAGGAGGGTCAGCACATATTTACACTCGCACAAAAAACTCAAACAGAGATGCGAATTGAAAAAAAAAAGATTTGATTACAAAAACCAAAAAATTACACCCTTAAGCATATCGAGCAAATGAAATAACAATAATAACATTTGCATAACCCTTACGAAGACAGAAGCGCAGCAACACACGAGACAAACCAACTGACCTCCCTCCCACATACTACGAGGGAATCGGTGAGCGGCACTAGCGTGGGTCCCTATTACAGTCTTTCATTACAGGTCGGTGTGGTGTGCCCCCTCTAGGTGAATGTAAATCCAGGATACAGTATTATAAACCCGAGCCCTGTGAGGCTGAGATTGAGGCCTGCCTTTCAAGGCCACCTCTACTCTCCGCCCCACAGTTCTGGGTGACCTTGTCTGTCAGCGGCGCTACATGGGCTTCTTTTCTACTGTGCGAGAGGCCATTATCCTTTTCTGCGAGATACCACACACAAACCTCCTCTCTCTTTTTTTCTCTCCGTGAGATTAAGACCGCTTTCAGTTCCTTCTGCTCCTCTATACAAATATACCCAGTCCTGATTGGATGAGACGACACACACACACACTCAGCGCTAGAGCTGGGCAGAAAGCTGGTATATACCGTATACTGTCAGCGGGTTGCGATTTTGCTGTACTGTTTATACAGCGGTACATATTTGCACAGCAAAGACAATCTTTACATTATTTGATTACAAAATGGGATGTGCCCCAAACAAGTTGAGCTGAGGAAGAACTTGTATAGGGGTGTTGTATGACTTAACCAAAGAGTTTAGTCATTTACTGTTGCCAACCAATTATGCAACTAGTCATATTAATACAGAAACTGATGTGTAATCACAAGATATGCATATATCGGAAGTTTTACTGTGACTTCCGATAAGAATTAATGGTAACACTTTATTTCGATAGTCCACTTTAGACATTCTATTAACAGTAAGTAACTTTGCAACTACATGTCAACTAGCAGTTAGTAGAGTATTAGTAGACTGTCTGCTTAATATCTTCTAACACTTTCTTTGTCAACTTATTCTACTAACCCTAAACCTACCCTAACAGTCTACTCTGAGAGTTAGTAGACATGTAGTTGCAAATTAATGAGAATTAGTTGACATGTAGTTGACATGTAGTTACAAAGTTACTTATAGTTAATAGAATGTCTAAAGTGGACTATCGAAA